GATAGATAGATAGATAGATAGATAGATAGATAGATAGATAGATAGATAGATAGATAGATAGATATTGTTTCCCTCCAGGTGTTCCCTCTTATCCAGCTGTTGCCTTTGAAGGCAGCTGAATGAGACAACTCACTCCCCAATAACTCGCTGCAGAGCAATTCGACAATTCAATTTTAATCATTTGAAATCATTTTAAAAATAATTTTAATTTTGGTCATTCCCATTTCATTTTGTCCTTCCTTTGGTTTCCTTTTTTTTAATAGCAATAACACTTTCACCTGCATGCCGCTTCATTGAGCTTTACAGCCCTCTCTAAGCAGTCTACAGCAGAGGTCCCTAACCTCTGGGCCACGGGCCACTACCTGCTCTGCTCTTTTCAGAGAGATGCTCTAGATCAGTGATGGCGAACCTTTTGTGGCTCGCATGCCAAAAGCAGGGGGAGCGCAGGGGGTCGTGCGTAGGCGTGCCACACCCATAATGCTATGCGCAATACCCCAGCGCGCATGACTAGCGCTCCCCCCCCCCATTTTTTGGGCATGCTTTTTTCGCCCTCCCCAGACTCCAGAAGCTTTATAGGAGCCTGGGGAGGGTGAAAACAGCCTCCCCCGTCCCAGCGGAGGCCCTCCGGAGGCTTCAGGAGCTTCCCTGAAGGCTTTGGCGTGCGAAAAACCAGCCTTACAAGCAAACCAGAAGTATAATCTCAAACTTCCGGTTTGCCCGTAGGGCCGGTTTTTCCCGCTCCGGAGCCTGCAAGGAGGCCCCCGGAGGGTGAAAAATGGCCTCAAAAGAAGGCCGAAGTCAGCTAGCGCACTGGCCAGCTGACTGGGCAACGCCTCACGGGCCCTGACAAATGGCTCTGTGTGCCACAGGTTTGCCATAGGTTTGCCATCACAGCTCTCGATCGGAGTCACAAAGTAGGAATGGGCCAGGAACGGGTGGACGCGCATGAAAGGGAGGAGGATGAAACCAGAGGGAGGAAGGGGAGAGTAATTCCATCCCGTGAAAGGAGAGTTTGCAGGCTGATGTGGTAGAGGCCTCCCAGATATCTTAATCCCGAAGTTCCCCCACATTTCTGAGTTTGTGGAACAGCGGGAAGGTGTGGGGAGGGGATTGGTTCCGTGTGAGCTACTGTCAAGAGCACACACGCGTGCAGCTCCATTGACTCAAACCGTGCGCACCCCGCTCACTTGAATGGAGCTCAGACGCTCGCCCGCTCCTCACACAAACGAGGACAGGGGGTGCATGTGGGGGGCACGATCTTGCCGGCCATTTCTGGGGCCCGGTTGCAAACCCGTCAACGGCCTACTGGTGGGGCTGTGGCCCAAAGATTGGGGACCCCTGCCTTAAGACCACCATTGCCTCCCTCCCCCCCCCCATTCCTCCAACCTGCAGAGCCACAAGGAAGGTGCTCTGTGAGGTTTGGAGAGGGTCCAAATTGGGGGAACAGTTGCCCCCCCCTCCTTCCCGCCTCCCATGGCGAGGGTTAACCAGAAGCCCTTTTGACACTCCATCATCTCCTTTGTGCTGGGACCCTCTTTATGATGCGAAAGGCCATCAAATCTTAACAATCCGGCTGGCCAGGCGCTTTCCCTGCCCTTAATGGGCTGTTTAGCTGCATTCATGCGCCCTCAGGGCCCGAGCAGAAAGAGAGTCGCTTGGCAGTGTGTAACACACCCTTGGCAGGCAGCCACCGGAGGAGCCTTAATGGGTTCCAAGAATTATTTTGCTGCTTCTTCAAGGGAGAGAATCCCCCCACTCCCAAGCTTAGCTCATGGCCGTGTTTCCCCGAAAATAAGACAGGGTCTTATTTTCTTTTGACCACTGAAATAAGCGCTTGGCCTTATTTTTGGGGAAGTCTTATTATTTTTGAGGTGCAGGAGGTGGCGAGTGTGGTCACCTCATGGCTGTTGCTGTGTGGCAATATTTTCGGGGAGGGCTTATTTTGGGGGGGGGCGCAAGGATTATTTTAGCACATGCGCTCAAAAGCCCGATTGGCCTTTTTTTAAAAACCTGCCTATTCGCCCGAACCGGCAGGAAAAAAATACCTTAAAAAGTGAAAAACACACTTGGCCACGCCCACCCAGTCCCGTGACCCTCCCACCACCAAGCCACGCCCACAGAACCAGTGGCCCAAAAATTGAGAGGTTACCATTGCCGGGGAGGTCTCATTTCCAGGGGAAACGGGGGAGCTTCCTGTCGCTCACAAACTCGTTGCGGCTGCTACGACGTCTTGGCGGGAAGCCTCACGGTCTGTTTTGCTCCTTTGCGTTGCAGGGATAACTCCAGCTTCCGAAACACCAAGATCACATTGTGACAAGGAAGTGAGGAAGCGACTCCAACCAGCTCTTCCTCGGTGCGGCCCGGAGACGTGGGGGGAAGCGCCTCCCTCGACGCCCTGCAGTCAAAGTTTGCGGGACGGCCTGGACCTTTGACCCTCCAAGACGGCCTTTACACCCATGTCAAAGACTGACCTTTCGGAAGACCTGGGACCCGCCAGGCCGAGCAGGGGAAAACTGTCCTTGGCAGTTCCTCGGGGACCCTTCCCCACCCGGCTTCCCTCCGGGCAGCTCCTCTCGTTCAGGGCCCACGTCTGCCTGGAGGGTTTCCAGTATTATGACGGTCTCGGCTGCGGCAGAGGCCGTCGGAGAATTGGCACCCCTTCCTCTGCCAATAAACCATTCGGCTCCTAGTTGATCCTCCTCCTCCTCCCCCTTGCGTCTCGTTTGTGAAATGGGGGGGATGCGGGGACCTGGTTGAGAAAGCCGGCCGAGCTCGTGTGGGAAGCCCCTTCTTGGATTGGCAGCAGATCAGACGGGCGAATGCAAGCGAGAGGCCAGGCAGCATTAATTTGGAATTAATTGTCAAGAGCCCTGGTGGCTCAGTGGTTAGTGGGCAGCATTTCAGGCAAGTTCTGTCCACAGCCAGAAGTTTGATCTTGAGCAACTCAAGGTCGACTCAGCCTTCCGTCCTTCCGAGGTGGGTAAAATGAGGACCCAGATCATTGAAGGCAAATATGCTGACTCTGTAAACCGCTTAGAGAGGGCTATAAAGCACTGTGAAGTGGTATATAAGTCTAAGTACTATTGCTACTGTCCTTCCCTCCATCCTTCCTTCCTTCCCTCCCTTCTTCCTTCCTTCCTTCCGGTTGACTCAGCCTTCCATCCTTCCAAGGTGGGTAAAATGAAAAGCCAGATTGTTGGGGGCAAATATGCTGACTCTGTAAACTGTTTAGAGAGGGCTGTGAAGCACTGTGAAGCAGGATATAAGTGCTATTGCTCTGCCTACCTGCCTGCCTATCTCCCTTCTTGTTTACATCCTTCCTTCCTCCCTCTCTCCTTCCCTTCTGCCTCCTTCCCTCCCTCCCTTCTCTCCTTCCCTTCCTTCCTTCCATCCTTCCTTGCGCAGTGGTTAGAATGCACTATTGCCAGCAAACTCTGCCTGCAGTCTGGAGTTCGAGCCTGATCAGCTCAAGGTCAACTCAGCCTTCCGTCCTTCTGAGGTGCGTAAAATGAGGACCCAGATTTTGGGGTCGCAAGAGGCTGATGCTGTAAACCGCTTAGAGAAGGACGGTAAAGCACTGTGAAGCGGTCTATAAGTCTAAGGGGTTGGGCTCTTCCTGTCTGCCTGCCTATCTGTTTGCCTCCCTTCTTCTTTACATCCTTCCTTCCTCCTACCCTCCTTCCTCTCTCCCTCCTTCCTTTCTGCCTCCTTCCCTTCCTTCCTTCCTTTCTTCCTTCCTTCCTGCCTTCCTTCCTTTCTTCCTTCCTTCCTTCTTTCCTTCCTTGCGCAATAATTAGAATGCACTATTGCAAGCAAACTCTGCCCACTGCCAAGAGTTCAATCCAGCTCAAGGTCAACTCAGCCTTCCATCTTTCCGAGGTTGGTAAAATCGGGAGCCAGATTGTTGGGGGCAAATATGCTGACTCTGTAAACCACTTAGAGAGGACTGTGAAGCGGTATATAAGTCTAAGGGCTAGTGTTAATTGGTCTCAGTTGGAAGCTACAATGAACCCCTCTGAAAGATACTCATATCCCATTGAACTTCCAATGGCTTCCCTTGTAATCCCATAATCGTATTTTGAGAGATTGACAACCTGCCCTCATTTTCAATCATTTCCAGCATGCTGAGTCCCACGGCCACAATTTATGACATTTTGGGGCAGAAACCCAACATTTACTTCCACTTTCCAGCAACAAACACCCATTGGCTGAAGTGGGTTCGTTTAACGACCGCCATGTTCACTTGATGACTGCGGAATTCAGTTAGCAACCATGGTGTTTGCTTAATGGCCGTGCAACAACAGTCAGGAAAATCAGGCAGAGTGGCACGGTCATCCACTTAACGACTGGCGTGACTTAAACTGTAATTGCGGGTTCATTTTCCACTCATAAACCGAGGACGACTTCTAACAGTAAGAATCCAGATGTTCCTCCAATCCATTAACCAACAAAGGGGATTTGACAGCAACATTGCCCAAATGTAAAGTACAACCGACAGGTGTGTGGGACCACAAGGCCCATAATTCCCTATCGGCTGACTGGCTGGGAGATAAGTCGGTTCCAAGCTTTAAATTCCTCTTTGGGGAAGCACTTCCTGCAAACCAGAGATGAGAGTTGGAGACCAACTATCGTCTTAAATCTGCTTTCACTCAGCTTGGGCTACATCCTGTCCCCAGCCAAGAGCCATGAAAAAGAAGAGGAGGAAGAGAAGAGGAGGAGGAGAATAGAAGAGAAAGAGGAAGAAAGGCAGGGGAGAAGAAGAGAAGAGGAGAAAAGGAAAAGAGAAGAAGACTGAGACGAATGAGGGAGGCCGGTGCTAAGACTGCATTTCAAAAGCCATTTTGTTGGCAGAGTCCATGACCAGGTCATCCTCATAACTCCACGTGCCTCAAATTGCCTCCAGCCAAATGATGCTCTGCGATGTTCCACAACATCTGATGGAAACAACTGATGATGCCAACAGGCCCAAGTCCAGAGGCTGGGGAATTCTGGCAGTTGAAGTCCATATATTTTAGAATGAATGAATGAGCTGGAAGGGACCTCGGAGGTCTAGTCCAGCTCAAGCAGGAGACCCTCTACCATCTCAGACAAGTGGCTGTCCAGTCTCTTCTTAAAAACCTCCAGTGTTGGGACATTCACAACTTCTGGAGCTAAGCTGTTCCACTGATTTAATTGTTCCCGCTGTTAGGAAATTCCTCCTTAGTTCCAAGTTGCTTCTCTCTCTCTCTGATTAGTTTCCATCCCTTGTTTCTTGTCCTGCCCTCTCGTACTTTGGAAAACTATTCGACCTCCTCTTCTTTGTGGCAGCCCCTCAGATACTGGAGTATTGCTATCATGCCACCCCTAGTTCTTCTTTTCTTTAGACTAGCCAGATCCAAAACCTGCAGCCGTTCTTCCTATGTTTTAGTCTCCAGGCCTTTGATCATCTTAGTTGTAAAGTTGCCAAAGTTGAGAAAAGGGGCTCCGGTATCCCTTACTAAGAGGATCCATTGTCGGAGTAGGAAGAACTCCCTGCCTGTAGGCTGAGCTCAAGCCGGCAAGTCTTGACCGAATTTCCTTCCTGTAATTTGAATGTGTCAAGCGTCCTAAAGGCGTTCAAGAGCAAAGCAAAACACCATTGATTTTTCCTTTCCTCTTTTTTTTATAGCTTATCTATTTGGTGGGATGCGTCTGCCCGCAGAATCGCAGGATCATTACGCAATTGTAATTGTGTGTGTGTGATTTCTTTGCCGTTATTCCCCTGCTCGTTGCCTTTTTCTGTGACTCGGGCTCACTCAGTGACTGATGGAAGGAAGGAAAGTGAAGCTTGATGGTTTGTTAACCATGACAAGGATGGAAGGGGCAGACAGGAGCTGGGAAAGAGTGGGGAAAAGGGGGGTTGCAAGAGACAGGGGGGCAGGCAACCAGCAGTGGGCCAGGTGCCAATATAAGCCGCAAGAGAAGGAAGGAAAGAGAAAGAGACGAAGGGAAGGAAGGAAACAAAAAAGTAAGGAAGACCAATTTAAGAAGACGTAGGAAAGGTATTGTAAGGTTATATGATTGCTGGGTAAGAGAGACAAAGAGAAGGAAAGGAAGGGAGAGTAAAAGAAATGAAAGAAAAAAAGGAAAGAAGGAAGAAAAGCCCATTTAGAAGATGCAGGAATGGTTTTGTAAGATTATATGATTGCTGGGTAAGAGAGAAAGAAAGAGAAAAGGAAAGAAAGAAAAAAAGAAAGGAAGATCTATTTAGAAGATGGAGGAATGGTATTTAAGATTATATGATTACTGGATAAGAGAGAAAGAAAGAATGAGAGAGAAGGAAAGAGGAAGATAGTGAAAGAAAAAAAGAAAGATACCCCCCACTGAATCTCCCTCCCTCCCTCCTGCTCTCTCCAATACAAGCAACCAAATTAAAAGCACACTTGAGTCAAACACCCATCTCTGAAATAAAGTTGCAGAAAAACCTCAGAAACGGCTTTGATTAAGGGAGACGCAGAGCTCTTCAGCCCTCCTGCTCTTGGGATCAAAGGGACCATCGCCTTGCCCACCCCGAGACTTTTATCTCTGCTTCAATGGTGGTTCTCCTCTTTGTGGTGAAATCATCTCACGAACCAGGAGTAGCTGAATGAAGTAATGAGGGAGATGAAGACTGAGGGTTTTTCATCATTTGTATACAAACATCCTGGCCGCTTTGATACGACATCCTGAGTTCGTTCACTGCAGTGTGCAAACATCAGTCAGTTTTGGACTAAAGTATCTTCCCCTGGATCAGCCCCGTGTCGTGTGGGGGCAGATTCGGAGTATGAAGAAGTTGGGGAGGAAGATGGGCCAGTCCTGGAGTCTGGGGAAAGCTCTGATGAGGGCTCTGCATCGGAAGCAGAGAGAGAGCCAGGGCCCTCTGACATTTCCCAGCTGTCTTCGGAGTCGGACATAAGTGGGGAAGAAGAACAGCTGGGGCCTGTTCCAGATGCGCATATGTGCAGAACTGCCAGGAGAGGAGAACTGAGGACAAGGAGTCAACTCGGGAAGAAAGGCACGCATGGATGCTGAATGCCCTTTCCTGGCTGGGGAATACAATACAATACAATAGCAGAGTTGGAAGGGACCTTGGAGGTCTTCTAGTCCAACGCCCTGCCTAGGGAGGAAACTCTATACCGTTTCAGGCAAATGTCTGTCCAACATCTTCTTAAAGACTTCCAGTGTTGGGGCATTCACAACTTCTGGAGGCAACTTCTGTTCCACTGATTAATTGTTCTAACTGTCAGGAATTTTCTCCATGGTTCTAAGTTGCTTCTCTCCTTGATTAGTTTCCACCCATTGCTCCTTGTTCTGCCCTCAAGTGCCTTGCAGAATAATTTGACTCCCTCTTCTTTGTGGCAGCCCCTGAGATATTGGAAGACTGCTATCATGTCTCCCCTAGTCCCTCTTTTCATTAAACTAGACATCCCCAGTTCCTGCAACCGTTCTTCATATGTTTTAGCCTCCAGTCTCCTAATAGTCTTTGTTGCTCTTCTCTGCACTCTTTCTAGAG